TTGTGTGGGACCACTACCCATGACTAGACAGGGTCATTAAATCTTGCTAATCATCATTGCTGGTACCCACGTTACCCCGAGGCCATTCCTCTCGGAATATTACCACTAAGAGTGTTGTTAGGCCCCTGATCAGGTATTTTTACGCAGGTTGGTCACCATCTGCCACTGTGCAGTCAATTAGAGGTAAATTTTCCTCTGATTTGTTCGGGCAGGTAATACCAGAAAACAGCCAGGGTCTGTTATTGTCGGCTCGGGACTTTTCACTCTCAAGATAAGGAATAATTTGAACACCTCCACCATTTCCTCAAAACTATGATTAAACATTTTGTAGACAGGTCAGAATGGGATAGAAACATTGATGTTTTGTTGTTCTCTGTAATGAGGACAGTGTACAGGAAAGTTTAAGATTTGCCTCTTTATATTTATCTATGTACATGAGATTCGGTCTCTTAAAGGTCCTTAGGAGTGCTGGCTGAGTGAAAAGACACTGATTCAATTGGTGCATATGTTCATAAATTTAAGAACACCTAAAGTTAATTCTTGAAGATGCTCCATGTCCCACCCAGCTAAAGGTTAAGAGGTGATTCGGTCTTAGCCCTCTTATCCTTACCAATGCAACCTCTTCACTCCCAGAATCTGATCCTTTTCATTGTGAGTACAGGTGTTGGGAATGTTAATTCTATGATTTATTGAGACCCCAGTGGGGCGCAAGACACGGCGTCATTGAATTTTCATGAAAACCACTCTGGAGAGTGCCATACTAGGGATAGTGATGATGAGTTGGATGTGATTAGTAAAGATGCTGTATATCATTTGTAAGCAGCTAAGAGGTGGATGATATACTGTAAGTGATGATGACCTTCTCAATTTCTCTGATTAGAATTGTCCAATACTGAAATCTTGATGTACATCCCAGTGCTAAACTTGCGTACACTTGCCGCCGCCAGGCAGCAATAGTCTTGCCATTTGGTATTTCTCTGAGACTTTTAGGACATTTTTTGGGGGTGGCTCGTCTCTGCCTGCACCGCAACATGACATTAGACGCCGGAGCCTCTCCGACACGACAAACCCCTTTATCATATGTAATACAGAAGAAGAAATTCCTGCAAGTGGAGTCAAAACGACTACAGAACAAGGCTTGAGTCCTTGGGCGGGGCAGAGTGGTCCTGTCCCTAAATCCCACGGTGGAACCTTCCACCTTTGCGTCGACTTACCAGAAGGTAAAAGTGTCGCTGTTCAGATTATTTTCCTCTTTCCGGAAGGACTGTATTATCGATTACCTGGACACTCCTTTATGTCTCCATGCTGGATCTGCTGCAGGAATACTATCAAGTCCCCTGCAGAGAGCAGGCAGAAGCCGGTTTCCTTTCATCCCCCAGCCTAGGACTCTTAAGTTTGTAGCTCACCCGCATTTGTCATGTGGAATAGAAAATATCCTTCCTGATAAAATCACCTGACGACTGTCCTGCCAAAAGTGATTCCTGGAACCAGAACATTGTGCAGTCACGGACGAAAGTTCTTGATTCAGTC